TCTAAGTAGGTGCTTTAGACCACTGAGCCATCTCACCAGCCCGAGTAATTGAGTTTTAATGTACTTAAATATACCAAAATAATGATAATAGAGACAAAGTTCAAGAAAGGCTTCCATTGTCATAATCCTGCCTACTATGTTCTATAATGATAGATATCAATTACTATATATTTCTATTATTTTCTAAACCTTTCTTTATGTAATTAATAACCCTTTATTTGCTCTTATTTGTGTGTGTGTGTGTGTGTGTGTGTGTGTGTGGCATTTGTATTGAACCCAGGGCCTCACAAATTCTAGGCAAGTACTCTATCACTATTTCTACTACTTGGCTTTATTTTTGTTTCCTTCTGTCACTTTAAAGTCAAGGATAGGATTAGTGATATGGCACCATATTGTTTGAAGTGCTTAAGTCTATTTTGTAGCCTAAGAATAAAACTTTTCCAGAAAAAATTCTTGAATTAGTACTGAACTACTAGATTCCATCAAGGTAAGAATGAAATTGTTTGCTGTTCTCTCAGGTCTGTTCTACTCTCAGTTCTGCCTTCTCTCCAAACTTGAAGGACATTTACAGAAAGGATTTGACTAAGAATTAAGGGATTTTTGTCTTAGTTAGGGCTACTATATAAACAATAAAAATTTATGTCTCATGATTCTTGCTGTGGGAAGTCTAAAATCAGGGTGCCAGCATAGTCGTGTTCTTTTAAGGATCCTCTTCCAGGTGAAACTGCTGATGTCTTGTGTCTTCACATAGTAGGAGGAGGACAAGAGAGCTCTCTGGAGTCTGTTTTATAAGCTCATTAATCCCATTCCTGGGGTCTCCTCCTTTAAGACTGAATCTCCTTCTATAGGCTCCACCTCCTCAAGCCAGCACATTGAGTTAGGATTTCAGTGTTTTGAACTTGGGAGGGAGCACAAATATTTCTTCTATTACAGTGTTTTCTAAGCAGTGAGTATAGATACTGAAAATGGCCAATTATATTTGGGTAAATTTCAAAGTATATAAATATTAGGATAAAATTTTTTATGAGAAAAATAGTGTAATGTTTCTACTTTTCCTCATTAAAAATAGAAATCGTTGACTTATTACTTTATAATTTTTGAATACATTACTAAAGCCCCTGTTGGAAAAGAGGATTTTCCCAGTCAATAGCTGTGATTTAATTTAAAAAATCCAGTTATGTTAGCTGTGAGGTGAGGTGAGCTCTTGTTAAATGCATGTACTTTTCCATTGTACAGGCTCAGGTCACAGGGAGCACACTTAATGGTAGGAAGGAACAACTTCAGGCTGAAGAAGGTGATAAGGAAAAGTGGGATTTCCTGCAGTTTGCTGAAGCATGGACTCCAAATGACAGTCCTGAAGAGCTCAGGAAAGAAGTTTTATTCTCTCATGTAAGATGATATGACTTGGTCTTTTTACTTCTTTAACACCCTGAAATTATAATTGTAACTTTTTTACTTTTTATTTCATTATTACACTTTAGATATACATGATGATAACATTCATCATAGGTAGTTTGTGCTTGTACATGATATAGCTTGCTTTTTTCCATTCTCCTCCCCTTCCTTCAACCCCTCTTCTCTTTATGAACAAAAGCTATCCACCCCCCCCCATTTTTTCATTTGCCTTTCCTTTCCTTTCCCCTCTTCCTTCCCTTTTTCCTCAGCTCTCAATTATTTGGATTCTTGAAAGGGGACTTTACTTAAAGCTGGAAAATAGCCAAGAATTAAATTAATAGAAGGAGACCTGTACAGGGTCACACATTTTCCAGCTGTTACATCACTCACTGTTTAGCTCCTTAAATAAGCAAGCTGAGTAGAATCCAAACTCTGCAAGAAAATATAGGAAGGTAACAGAGAGAATGTCAATAGCCAAAAATCGTAAGAATTTCTGCCTTAAAAAAAAAAAAAGTTCTGCCTTACTATTATAAAAATTATTTTCCCCTTTGCAGTTGTTCATCCATGATATGATGCTTTCATGTAATGTGACCATGTCATGTGACTATTTTGTTCCCAGTAATTTTTTCTTTGTTTTTTGCAGAACTGGGGATTGAACTCAGGCCCTTGCACTTGCCAGGCATGTGCTTGTTCTACTGAGCCGTCTCCTCAGCCCCCAGTTCCCAGTATTTTCATACCATGGTTTTTAGCATCGTTGATGGTTGTTTATTTGAATCAGTATGGAAATGGTTTTCTAATTCTGTCATTGCTTCTATATTCACTAGATGGTACTTTTTGTAAAGAAGCATGTTATTTCTTCATTTCTTCATTTTGTATTTTAGGGAAGGGTCTACAAGGTGTTCAAGGTCTCACTACTAGATTGGATTTATAGTGATCTGCCTGTTTACAGTCTCCCAAGAACTGGGATCACAGGCCCACACCACCATACCCAGTCTCAATTGCCACTTCAGTGCGTCCCAGGGTTACGGCCAGCATGGCAGCCCAGGGCTCAAACCCCCAGCCCTTGGATCCATTTGCAGGCATTTTAATCCACTGAGCTATTTGGCTTGCCCTTATTTCTTCTTTAAAAAAAAAAAAGATTAAAAAATCGAGAATTCTTTTATTTTTGTTGTCATTATTTAATGTATTATAATCCTTCACTTATTATTTCTGTTTATGCTTAGATTTGCCTGGTAAAATCTCCTTTATACTGGTTCTTTTTTTCTAAATTTTATTGATAAACAGATAGCAATGAGACAGTTTCAAATCAAATCGGAAGTACAGTTTCAACAAATAACACACTGCATATATTCTTCCTAGTGGTTAATTGCTGTACAAGATGCAGACTTGAGATCTTATTTACAAACACCATTAGAACAAATCATTCTATTCATTAAGAGTGGTTCTTTTCTTTAAAAAAAAAAAATCACATTCTCATAATTATTTGAGTACGTCTTTGGTTTTTGGTAAACAAATTTTTTCCAGGTTCACTTTGAATTTTCTTTGCCTCTGTTTGGAACTGGCAATTTCTTTAAGGAGTCCTAGTTCCTCATAAGTTGCTATTTAGAAATTAGCATGAATATATCTATATATGGATCTCTATATGTTCTTTATTTCACACAGATTTTCCAATCTTTAGATGGAAATATAATTGGCATATAATTTGGCATCTTATACTTTAGAAATCTTTTATTTTTAGCTGTTTTACTTTGTTTATACTTATATGCTTATTTAGCCAGCAAATGAAACATGCTTTAGTTGACTTTAGGTGGGCATGGCCTCTCGCCGCTGTCTTTACACCCTCTAGCTTTAGGGATTTTAAGAAATGTTGTTTTTAAAAGGATCTGTGAAAACTTAGTTTAATGGTGAGCATATTTTTCTTCTAAATGTTGCCAGAATGTCAGTACTTTCTCTGGGAATTTTTTTATGTATAGTGATTTATTTCTGAATCCTTCTAAAAGTCTTATATTTCTTTCTTCAGCATTTAGCAATTTTAAACTTTGCAGAATTACCCAAACTTGCCAATTGTCATAAAAAACCTGCTTAACTAAAGTTTATAGCAGTTCTAATTGGGTGGTTTTTAGCAACTTGTAGATAGCTCTGCGAGTCAGTATTGTAAGGAATGTTCTTTTATCTCTATCCCATCTCCCTGCTGCTGCAGTTGGAGGAAGCTGGAGCAAAGAGGGACTTCTCCTTGGTAGAACAGATTGTCCCTCTAGTCAGCACAGGACTGAGGTGTTTAGGACGCACCAAAAGCAGAGGCTAAGCCTGAGGGCAAGAAAAGGTGAACTGTGGGGCAGGAGGAATCCAGAGCCTCTTCCACCCAATTCCTTGGCTCCCAAAATTCCTCTTATACTCCAGTTCATCAGATGTGAAATGCTGTGTGCCCCATAAGTGATTTTTAGAAAATGTAGGAATTTGATAAATTTAGCAAATCGTTCTCCAGGAACTTATATTTCAGGTGAATTGATTTATAGCATATTGCTTACTAGCTAAATAAAGCACTTAGCATGCGGGCTTTTGGCTGATTCATTTTTGGTGAATTGATTTAGAGCTGAAAATAATGATGATCATGGGTCCTGGGGATAGGAAGACCTATGTTTAGGAAAAGGAAGAGTAGAAGAATATGAGAAATATTTTCCAAGACATAGTTTTTGTATTAGATTTGGTCTGTCCTGTCTTCTTTCTCTTCTGGTGAACTTGCCCTTCAAAATTGTGTTCTTTTTCTTTCCGTCCTCTTTTAGTCAGAATCAATACATAGAACATGGGCTGGAACTCTACTAGTGTATGCAAGTATAAGTGTATTGCTATAAATTGTTAAAAGATTGAAAACATTTTATTAATGGTTGGTGAGTACCCATTCTTCAGACCCGTCATTATACTCTTTCACCCCACCATGAGGATCTTCTGGTCTTCCCCATGATCCAGTATCACTTGGTGCCTCTGGGACTCTGCTTCAACCCAAGGTGGCCAGGCACTTCCCTGCTATAGCTGTTTTTAAGTTTTAGTATTTGAATAATCCATGCAAACATATGAGGTACAACTCTGTCTATATCCTATGTATGTATATTTTTAAAATTAATTATTTATTAATGCAAATGAAACTCAAGTTAAAGTCTAAATTAAATGAAGAAAAACAAATTAAATGAAGAGAAAAAAATTTCTACTATCACGAGAAAAGTTACTTTTGCATAGCATATTTGCCTGTACCATAAGTGAGCCAGCCTGCTTGGGAGTCAGTCACCAGTGTCCCTGCAGTAGATTCATTTATGCCCCTTCTTCCTTTCTCCAACAGCTAGATGTACATGAAATCTAAGCAGCCATGATAGCTGGCATGCTGTAAAAAAGTGGTATATAGTTAGGAAAAACTCAGCATAACAACTGAAATTTCAAAATATGCTTTCAAAAATTCATAGTTTTCATTTTTTTCTTAAAAGCCAGCATTATATTAAATGTTCACCTTGTTGTGGGCTAGAAAGTTCAGATACAATATTATTTCATACATTAGAAAGTAATCTTTTTCTCCACCAGTCTAGTAGGATAAATGGTAACAATGAAAAAAAAAATGACCATGGAAGCTGGAGTATTTATGAAGTCTAAATCTACTTTGCTCAGAATCTCTCATTTCTGAACACGCTGGGGCCCTGCCAGGTAGCTCAGTCATGTAAAGTGCCACTTGGGCAAATGCAGACAGGCACAGAGAACCGAGGTCCAAATCCCAGCTCCAGAAGCTGCACTAGACCTGCCCTTAAGGCAGCCAGAAGTAGCCAAAAGGAAAAAAATCCTAAATATGCTAAAGGACTGGGATCTTACGGTTAAT